TGAAAGAAACTGACAGTTACAACTGTTTTAGCTAGAAGATAAATATGCGTCACAATCTTCAGCAGAAACAGGCAGACTGCACAAGCACTGAATCGTTGTGTCTTCATAATGTCGAATTGGAGGATCGTGCTCCGCCTCTCAGTACGATCGTGCCGAAATCAATAATGTACCTCTGCGAAACATAGATGCTGGCTAAAGCAGACAAGCAGACGCTTGGTTGTGACGAAGAGAACGATGGCATAAAAAACCACACGCACACACAGACGCACTGTCACACATACATACGTACATACATACACACATACATGTATTCGCGCATATACATACACACATACATGCATACGGCAATTACTAAAACTCGGCTCAGATGTCACTCTGCATCACTGCTAACACCATTTCGCGGCGAGTCTCGTCGACGCTGCTTGGCACTTTGCCAAATGTACTGGGTAGCGATACCCGGCGTTCGGCTACTGGCCGCGTGCACTGGAGAAGGGGTGGGGAGAGCGGAGGCGGGAAAAGGTGGGAGGGAGAGGGTTGCACGTGAATAGGGAGGGGGTGCTGGTTGGTAGGTGCCCGAATAGAGTTCCGGGAGCACGGATTAAGGCAAGATAGAGGAGAAGAACAAGGGAGCTTAGTGAGGAGTAGGGGACGATCAGAGGTGAAAGTAGTTGGCTTTACAGGCAGGGCTTGGGGCAGGATACTGGAGGTGAACAAGTTTATTTATGAAGCTCATGTGTAGGCAAAATTGAGAGCTCCCAGCTTCACCCAAGCAACAGCTTCACTTTATTCGATCTCGGCTTTACCTAAGCATCAGCTTCACCTTATTCGCTTTCAGCTTCATCTAAGCATCAGCTTTATATACGGAGAACTCCCCCACCGATGACGGTTTTTCATTTGCTTTTCCTGCTCGTACTTTTTCTTCCCTCCTTTCCACCCATCACCCTTTCCTCTTCCCCTTACGTGATCTAGACAACTGTCAAGGTATCTACGTAACGTGGCCCTTCCAACTACCCATCCAAACCCCCCTTTCCTTGACTCGAGTCTCCATGCGCGAAATCCGTACACATCACTCCCCTCACACCTACCCAAACCCTTCCCTGTGTCTCGAATCCCACACTCTCAAAATATGCTCATGCACTGCCAACTCTCCTCCCCCTCCTGTGCCCTCTACAATGCACCCTCTCCCCCAGCTCTTCCCATATCCCGCATGTCCGCGGCAAAAACCAGCAGTACGGTCCTCCTCTTCTTCCTTTATGACCTTCTCCCCCTCTCTCCTGCCTGGCTACGCCAAGTTACTACTCAATCCCCTCCCCTACCTTCAATACCTTAGTCCAGAACCCGCAAACAAAGCTCCCCCGCACTACCCATATGCGGCATCCAACATTCTATGCCGTAGCGGGGTAAGGATACCCGAGAAAATCGGTCGCAAATCTTGTATGGACCTGGTCGAGCCAGGCTGAGCCGTGTTTTAGTAACTACCCCATACACACATATACATATATATACATCGGCGGTATCGTCTTATTTTGCTGATTAATAACCGAATAAAAAGATAAAAATATTGCATCAAAAAACTTTTTGTCTTCAAAAAGCTACATAAAAATCCATAAATTCGCATGACAAGCTACAAATTGCCACTCCCTTGTCCATGTTTTGAAGCTCTACTTAAGGCTACTAAGTGTACCATTCGGTGCCAAGCGAAATCCATCCATCTGC